ATCCGCAAATTCCTCAGCGCGTCCCTTCAGGTGGACCTCTATCTCCTCCTTCCATAAGAGGAGACAGCTCACTTTAAAGAGGGTCACTGGGCGATTATCTGCAGATGCAATTAGTTTAGAGAAGTATTTACATTTCGCCTCACGAATCGCCACAAGGTAGGCCTTAGTAGCAGCTCTTACCCGTGTTCGATCAAGTTCACCTCCTGTCTTCCGCCAGCAATGCTCTAGACGTCTCCTCATGCGTTTCATCCCTCTTGGTTCCTCTGTATACCATGGAGCACAGAGAGGTCTATGGGTGAGGAGAAGTCACAAGGGTGCAATCTTATCTAGAGCCTCAGTCACCTTCCTATTCTAAATAGTGACTAAAGAGCTCGGCTGGACTGCATAATAGATCTGTAGTTATAACCCCCAGCACCTTCTGGAACCTATCTGGGTCCATTAGTCCAGGGGTCCCCAACCGCCGGTCCGCGGACCGGTACCGGGCCGCGGAACAACCCTTACCGGGCCGCTGGTTGCTGGGCGCCGCCATCTTTTTTTTGGTAAAAAAGCGCTTCCGGGTAGAAAGCTCACCGGAAGCGCCGTTTCGTCATAAAAAGATGGCGGCGCCCAGTTGACGCCGGTACCGGGCCGCGGCGCCCAGCTGATGTCGGAACCGGGCCGCGGCGTCGAAAAGGTTGGGGATCCCTGCATTAGTCGATGGGGACGGACCAACCTAATAGGTCCTGCCTCCCTGTGGGGGGATGCAGCTTTTGAGAAACTCATTGTCACCAGACTGTGATCTGACCATGACAAGGGGAGCAAGGAGAGGTCTACCAATTCCAGGTCACATAGACACTGCTCCAACAAGAAAACCAAGTCAGGACTGTGACCACTATTACTAGTCAGGCTCTGAATAATCTGGGACAGGCCCATGGAAGTCATGATTTCTATAAAATATCAGGCTACCTCCGACCCTGACCCCAGAGAAGGCAGGTTGAAGTCCCCCAGAACTATAAGCCTGGGGAATTCCACTGCCAGTCCTGCGGTGAGGTCCAGGAGACCAGGTAGGGAAGCTGCCATGCAGCAGGGAGGCTGGTATAGCAGCAGCAATCCCATCTGATCCCTTGAGCCCAATCTGAGAAAAAGGGTCTCACAGGGACTTGTTGAACAGTGCCTCTGGAGGCTACTAGAGATTCTCTGATGACAACAGCCACACCTCCTCCCCGGCCCTGAGGTCTAGACTGGTGCCATGCTCGATAACCCACTGGGCACATTTCTGCAAAAGGAACGCCTCCCTCTGGGCTCGGCCAAGCTTCAGTTATACAAGCCATATCAGCCTTCTCTTCGAGGATCAAATTGGCAATAAGGCTAGCCTTATTGCAAGCTGATCTCACATTTAAAAGCAGAAGTCTAAGACCAGGGCCACCACAAATCTGCTGACCAGGAAAATGAGGTGAGTGCAATGGGGCAAAACATGAGATTGGTACTAAACACTGAGATTGTGTTCCCCGTGCCTGCCCTCTCCCTTGTCTCCCATATCTCCTGTTACTCGACACCATTGAAATAGGACGCACTCCTCTGCCTTCCCTGAGAACCATTCCATCCCCCATCCCGAACATTCTTCTTTAAAAAGGGGAAAAAAGAAAAACTACTTTCACTGACAGATTGTTGGGGGCAAGGTGAGTTTTACAGGCACTCTAGCATTTGCTCTCAGCATCCTCAAACTCACATCACCCATTATTGCTGCAGAGGGGTCACATCCAGCTCCTCTTATCTCCTAATATAATCAGAATACGTCCACTTGATGCATAAACAGCGCCCTGCCCAGTTGCTCTCACCCACCAAACAGGAAGCTACTCTTCCCCCCACCAGGTCTCACTTGGGGGAAAGGGACCAACATACTCTCATTCAACTATACAGTAGAATTGAATATAGTTCAATTCTCTGGGATAGAAGCTGTTTTTCAGCCCATTTGTCTTTGTTTTTATTATTGTCCTGTACTGTGCCAGATGGTAATAGTTGAAAAAAGGGTGCCCAGGATGAGATGGATCTTTAAGAATGTTTTGAACTTTCTTAAGGTAGCGGGAGCTATAAAGCTCTTCCAAAGAGGGGAGAGGGCAACCAATGATCCTCTGGCCAGTGATGTTAACCCTCTGGAGTGCTTTCCTATCTGCCACTATGCAATTGGCAAACCATACACAGGTGCAGTAAGTTAAAATACTCTCTATGGTGCAATGGTAGAAGGTCACCAGTTTTTCATTCAGTTTTTTCCTGAGAAATCTCAGGTAGTATAATCTCTGCTGGGCTCTTTTGCCCAGTGCTGCAATGTGAGCACCCCAGGTCAGGTCCTTTTTTATGGTAACTCCCAGAAACTTAAAACTGGCCACTTGCTCCACTCAGTCTCCATTGATAAGCAAGGGCTGGATGTCTGATCTGTTACTTCTGTACTCCACTATAAGCTGCTTGGTCTTATTGGTGTTAAGGATCAAGTTACTGTCTGCACACCATGAAAGCAACTGGTCCACCTCATCTCAATAGGAAGACACATTCCCCTGGAGATGAGTCCCACCACTGTTGCATCATCTGCAAATTTAGTAATAGTATTACTAGCGTGAGTTGGAATGCAGTCATGTACATAAAGAGTATAGAGTAAGAGACTGAACACGCAATCCTGTGGCGTACCAGTGTTATGAATAAGGGCTGAGGAGATAGGATTATCTAATCTGACCCTCTGAGAGAGACCAGACTGGAAATCCATAATCCAAAGGCAGATTAAATAAGAAAGTCCAAGATCCGTAAGTTTAGACACTAGCCTATGTGGAAGAATTGTGATAAATGCATAAGTGCATGAGGTCAGCCGCAACTCTCTCAGATGCTGGTTCACTACCTGGGCCTTGACAGGATCCTCAAACACTGCCCATAGCTAACAGCAAAACCCAGCATAGCTGTCCAGCAACGGGTTGGGATGGATTAGCAGGGGAGTCGCCCAGCGAGCCGCTGACCCCATCAAAAGGCTAATAAAAAAACCACATGTCCTGGTCAGTGGGGAAATCCTTGGGCAGAGGCTTATGTACAGCTGGCACTGCCCAAAAAACAACAGGAATTGAGCCAGTGAGCCATCATACTAGCCCAGAACAGTTACAGGGCATTTGTGATGCAGCCTGGCAGCTTGCAGCTGTGCGAGCTATGCAGAGAGGAGGGCTACTTGCTGAGATAAATGTGCATTGTCTGCGTGAAGCTGTTCCATTTTGTCCAGCAACAGCAGTTACGTACTCTCCAAGCGCGGTGAGAGGAAACAAGTTAGTTTGTCTGGTCAGGACCAAAATGTGATTACTCAAGGCTGGGCATAGAAGCAATACAGCTGAAACAAAGGCTTAACTCCCCTTTATTGCTCCAACTTTCCCCCCAAAAATCCCACCATTCACTGCAAATCCAGGAACAAAGCTCTAAACACGCACCTCCCAATAGTTCCTTGCTGCTATTAGTCCAGAGGAGCAGCACAGTTCTGAGAGCAGTTCAGGGATTTTAGTTCCAAGGAGTCGTCATCACAGGAAGAGTTCCCTGCTGTAGCACAATCCACAGCAGAACTTTGTTGCTGTGAACTCGCACATTGCCAAACAGGGCAAGACACAGTAAAGTATCCAGAGGTCGAGACTGGAAAAAGGCAACACTTCTTCCTGACAAGAATCCTTCCCAACAGCATCTCTTTAAATCTCATTCCCAAGTCGTCAGGTCGCCCTGCCCTGATCCCGCCTCCTCTCCATTATCGGAGGGGGGGGGAATTGCTCATCGGCTGAACTCCGTCACTCCTCTGCTCTGCTGTCTGCCCTCCTGTCCCCTTGCTTGGTCATCCTACGCCCTCTCTCATTCACTTCCCAGGCCTGGGGGACCTGGGACTGCTTTATCCTGCTCCTCCAGTTGTTCTTCCATCAACCCAGGCTCTGACGGCCATGACATGCTGCCAGGAGGTCGTCAAGTGTACTCTGGTCAGGACATAAAGGGCAGGTATACATATCTGTTGTTTTTTGCATATCACCACAATTGCAAAGAGCAGAAGCAACCGACAACCCCATTTATTCAGAGGATCTCTGAATCTTGTACCCATACACAGTCTATGCAATGGTTTCCATACGTTCCAGCTTTCACCAAACCCAGGTGCCAGCTCCTCTGCTGGTTCCATCCAGTGTTGATTCTTTGTAGGTTTCCATAGGCCCACTCCACTTTCAAATTCTTCACATTTCCATCAACCTAAGAAGCTTTTCCTGGATTTTTAATCTTTGATGAGCTAAATCTAGCAGTTCAAAAGCATACAAGTGCGAGTAGATAAATAGGTACCCTTTCAGCAAGAAAGTTACTGCATTCCATATTTCATGCTGGCCACATGATGAGAGAAATGTCTCTCAGACAGTGCAGGCTCCCTTGGCTGAGAATTTGAGATGAGCACTGCCCCCTTGAGTCAGTCACGACTGGGCAGGGTTAACCTTTAAACCTTAAATCCTCTATAGTGTTGAAGGCAGAAAAGCACAATTCCACTCATACTTTAAAAAAAAGGAAATGAGCAAGAATAAGTATGCAGTACATTTTGTCTGTGGCATTAACTCTGTGTGATTTTCTGTGTCAGTCGTCACTTAATATAGTGTTCCTAGAGAATGTCCACAAAGCTTTTGTCCAGCCCTACACAAGTTTGTCCTCATCAGCTGGGAAAAGCTGTCCCAGATCCACATGCATTCGAAAGATAGGATGTCAATTTTTATAGAAGTAAATAAGTATATTGGACATCTTCTATTTGGAAGATAGGGCAGGGGTGGAAAACCCCTGGTTCTACTAAGCTACAGCCCCCATCACTCCATACCTTTGGTATTTCAGACTGCAGTCCTGAGAACATATGGCAAACCACTACTCATCTCTGGATAGAATTGTGCTGCTCCCTTTTTAACATGTAATAGTGTCAATTCTATTTTATGTTTCCCAATGCCATTTTTAACACCAGGATGCTGATTTTCTTCCTTCTCACCTTGTAGGTTTTCAGGCCCCCAAATCCATGGACCATGGCAATCATGAATGTTCTTGCAGAACTTCATCAGGAACATGACTTAAAGGTAAATTGTATGTTACTTATACTTTTCAACTGTCTCTTGTTTAGAACATGAATGTGCTTCAAGGTTTGGGCTCAACTGCTGAATATTATTAAATCAGATCAAAATGTTGAACCAAGGATATCCTGCTAAAGTAGTCGCTGAAGTAGTCAAATACTTTTATGTTTCTAGCACAGTTTAGATTTAATTTTCTATGTAATCTTACCTTGAAAGGAATCATTATTTTGCAAAGTATGCCATGATTTGGAATGATGGATGGACATTATTGTGAAAAATCACTATCAATATAGCTTAAAATAATTACATTATTAAATCTGAAATTGTTAAATATTGTACAGCTGAATCTGAAGTTTGAAATTGAAGTGCTCTGTAAAAACCTGGCCCTTGACATCAATGATCTAAAACCTGGTAGTCTTCTAAAAGACAAGGACCGGTTGAAAACCCTGGATGAACAATTATCTGCTCCAAAAAAGGATATAAAACAAGCAGAAGAACTACCACCAATTACTACTACCAGTAAGTATCAGAATAATTCTTGTCTGCACTATACTAATATAATTTGTATTTCCCAGAGTGATGAGTAAAACAAGGTTGTTCTCAGATTTATTCTTTGTTAACAATTGTCACCAGTCTTGTGCACCAGCTTCATATGAAACTCAAAATATTTAAAAACAAAATGAAAGGTCTGCTGCCATGTCTTCTTTTCTTTGCTGCTTGGTGGAGAGTTTCAAACACTACAAACCTTTGTGAAGGACAGGTCTATCAAGGGCTATGGGCCTCGAAGACTCAATATTATCTTCAGCATGTCGTAGCTTCAAATACTAATTGCAGGGATTGATGGAAGTTCCTAATCTCCCATTTGTTTAATTTTTTTTTAAGTTTTATTATTTTTTTAGACAAACATAGACAAACACAACATAAAAACATCAGCTATCTTCCAGATATATACATGCAGTGTGTCGGTTGGTTTACAAATTGTTTTGTGCATTCACTTCATAGTCATCACTTACAATTTCATTGTATATGTTCTCATATTGTCAATCAAATATTACTAAATACATTAATATCATTGTTAATCATTTGACTATACTATTATTCATGTTTTACAAAATAATCCATACTTTACTTGATTTATTTTATGACAATTCATATCATCCCAATTCTATCCTATAATTATATTGTAGTTATAATAAAAATAATACATCTTTATATATTCCTTATATTCTAAAAATCTACATATTTCATTATCATGTTTTATTGTCTAACCATTGATAAAATAAATCCCAAATCTTATAAAATTGTTTATCTTCTTGTTCTCTGATTTCAAATGTCAATCTACTCATTTCAGCACATTCCATTATTTTCTTAATAACTTCCTCCTGCGATGGTATTTTCTCATTTTTCCAATTTTTAGCAAATACAATCCTAGCCACTGTTAATACATTTACAATCAAATACTTCAGTTCCTTCCTGTATATTTCAGGTAAAATTCCCAATAAAAATATCTCTGGTTTCAAGTCTATGTGTTTTTTTGTCATTTTTTGCAATCATGTGTGGATTTTAGTCCAATATCTTTTAGCATCCGTACACGTCCACCACATATGGTAATATGAGCCAGGCATCTGATGACATTTCCAACATTTTTCAGATTTGTTCTTGAACATTCTTGCTATTCTTGTCAGGGGAAGTGCCACCTGTAAAACATCTTATACAAATTTTCTTTATATGCTGTTGACATTGTCATTTTATAATTTTGAGACCACAATTTTTGCCATTTCTCTAAATCAATCCCATATCCAAAATTTCCCCCCAAGCAATCATTGTTTCTTTGATTTGTTCTTCTTCTAGCTTAATTTCTAATAAATATCCATAGTTTTTTAATCACCTTTTCATCAGTATCTGTCAAAATCTTATCTAAATCAATCAATTTATCATAGAAACCTTCTATTTTAGAATCTTTATCATACCTTGAATGCATTTGCGCATATGAAAACCAATTCATCTTTATACCTTGTTCCTCTAGTTTTTGCATAGATTTAAGTTCACCCTTTTAATTCAAAATTTCACCATATCTAACAGTTTGTTCCTTTTTATATATTATAGGATAAGAGAAAGCTTCAATAGTCGATAGCCAGACTGGAATTTTCAAATAACATTGTCTTTTAATCTTTTCCCAGTTTAACCACAGAGCCTCCCGTATATAATGTCTTCTAAAGTACCCCTGTGTTTAGTTCCTTTGTACCATAGGAAGGCATGCCACCCCAAAAAACAGATCATGTCCTTCTAATGTCAACAATCTAGTATTTCTTAATGTTATCCATTCCTTGACCCACATCAAATTTGTAGCTTGATAGTACAATTCCCAATTAGGCAAACCAAATCCTCCTCTTATTGTAGTATCTTGCAAGAGTTTTAGTTTTATTCTCGCTTTCTTACCTTGCCCTATATATTTCAACACAATTTTATTTAAATCTTCAAAGTAATCTTTTCCAAGCCTAATTGGAATTGTTTAAAACAAATATAAAATTCTGGGTAATATATTCATCTTGATTGTTGATATTCTCCCTATTAATGACAATTGTAAGTTTTCCCATTTCGCCAAATCTAACGCTATCTGCTGTTTGAGTTTAATATAATTATTCTCTTTAAGTGTGCTACATCTTGCTGTCAAATGTATCCCCAAGTACTTGATCTTATTTGTGACCTGAATTTTCAAAACATCCGCCAATTCTTCCTTTTGTCTTGATAACATATTCTTTGTCAAAATCTTTGTTTTGTCTTTATTTATTTTCAAACCAGCCACCTTTCCATATACCTCTATCTTTTCTATCAATTTTAATGCTATTTCTAGTGGATCTTCTAAAATGAAAACCAGATCATCTGCGAATGCTTGCAATTTAAATTCTTCCTTTTTAATTTTCATCCCTTTTATATCCTTTTCTTCTCTAATATTTCTATTTAGCACTTCCAAGGTTAACACAAACAACAAAGGTGACAGTGGGCACCCTTGTCTTGTTCCTTTTCTTATATCAATAGAATCCATTAATTCTCCCTCTATCATTACCTTTGCCGTTTGCTTATGATATATAGCTTCTATTGCATGGATAAATTTTTTACCAAAGTCCATCTGTTCCAGCTGTAATAACATAAATCGCCAATTCACATTGTCAAAGGCCTTCTGTGCATCTAAAAATATCAAAGCCATTTGTTTTTCAGGGTGTGCCTGGTAATATTTCAAAGTGTCCAAAATTACTCTTATATTGTCTTTAATTTGTCCCTTTGGCAGAAATCCATTTTGATCGGGATGAATAAAGTTATTTAAGTATTTTTTGAGTCTTTCTGCCAATATTGAAGCAAAGATTTTATAATCTGAATTTCATAGGGAAATAGGTCTATAATTCTTAATTTGTAATGGGTCAGCGTCCTCTTTTGGGACAAGTGCAATATAAGCTTCTGACCATGATTTAGGTATCCTCTTCTTTAACATAACTTCATTCATAACTTCTAACAATGGAAGATTCAACGATTCTTGTAATGTCTTGTAAAATTCTGCTGGAAGTCCATCTGGGCTTTCCATTATTTTGTTTCTTAAGTGCTTCAGTTAACTCCATCATTGTTATATTGCTTTCTAACATTATTTCAATCTCTTTAGGTATCTGGGGTAGGTTAGCATTCTGTAAGTACTGTTTAACTCTTTCATCATCAATATTGTGTGTATAGTTTCCCATAGTAATCTCGTATGATTTTCTTCTTCTCTTTACTTCCATAGCAAGCTTGTCCTTGATCATCTATTAATTGCAATATTTTCCTTGATTCTCTCTCCTTTCTCAGTTTATATGCTAACCATCTACCTGGTTTATTCGCATCTTCAAAATAGTTCTGCTTCGCATCTCTGATTTTCTGTGCTAATTCTCCTTGTTCCATTAATCCCATTTTATGTTTAATTATATCCATTTTTAACTTAATGTCCTTTTTCTGTGGTGTTTTCTGTAACTCTTTTTCAAGTCCTTTATACTCATCCTCTAATGTCTTAGAGGCTAGTCTTTTCATAATATTTTTTTCCTTGTATAGTCTATTATCAAACCTCTGGCATATGCCTTCATCCCATACATTCTGCATTGATGTGTCTTCTTTTTTATTTTCTTTAAAGAAAAAAACCAATTCTTTCTCCATTCTCTGTATAAAGTCTTTTTCTTTTTGTATGGTATTATTTAATGTCCATCTAGATCTTCTTCTTTGTCCTTTCCATTTAATTATCATTGGGTTATGATCTGCCCAAGTACTTGTTTCAATGTTTATTTCTTGGAGATTAGCGATCAATTCTGTTGACATCCATATCGTATCTATTCTGGACCATGATGAATGTCTGTTTGAATAGAAGGTGTATTGTAGCCTAATCTCCCATTTGTGAGTGCCACAGAGTTATCCAATTGACCCCTGTAAAAAAATAAGTTGCTGGATACAATGTCTTGGACTGATCCATGGGGGCATTGGTGAACTGTCCTTTGGGAGAGAGGATGTGGTGGTTGTTATAGGGGCTTGGTAGATTGAAGATGGGGATAATGCCTACATGGAACTTTCTTAGGGGCTGGGGTTCATGAAGTTGAAGAAAGTAGACAGGAGGGAGGATGCTCATTGCAATGATACCTAAAGGAATTTATGGTGGGAGACATAGGGAGAAAGATGAAATTTGATAATAGTCCCCTTTCAGGGGTCCAAACCTCATTTTTAGAATAAGGTCAGACAGTCTTCTGCTACAGCTTCTAGTCTTTTTTTTCCTCAATTTTTTTTATTTCAATCTACATATAACAACAATACATTAACAGTGTGGCATCAATATATCATACATCTCTCATTGCATATATTCATATTAATTCATACTTCTTCAATATTTATTTTCAACCTTACTCTCTCCAAATGCCTACCACCATATCAATTAAACATACCTAGTAATTCCATTATTCAATTTTCTCCCTGTTTTCATTTTATTTTTTTAAAATAAAGAATTCTCATTTGGCAAGCAGTATGATTCCAGGTTTCACATCTCAGTACAAACATGACCATAGTTACCTATTCATTTTATTTGTTTAATTTCATATTGCGTCATCCTTGTCATTAATTAAATATTAAGCTTATCTTATCCAATCCCAATTCATGTTCTCATATCTTATTTTACAATATCTAAAATTCTCATCTCAATTCTGTTCATCTATTCAATTCCAAATCCTGATATATCTCCTTCCATTTTTCTTAGTATATTCTCATATCTTATTTTACAATGTTATCTAAAATTCTCATCTCCTTTCTATTGTTATTTCTCATATTTTTTTCTGTCACATTTGTCATTTTATCGATCCTTATCTGTAAATATAATTGTCCCCTCGAATTAGTAATTCGAGCTAACCACCTTCATTCTTCCTTAATATCAATCTCCCTATCTAGTATAAAACACAAATATATATGGTGGTTTGGCATTGAAATGAGACACAGGGAACTGTCTCTGAGA